ATCCACAAAATAGGGCTATTCGCAGATGATGTCATCCTAGCACTTAAAAATCCAAAAGAATCTCTGGAATTTCTCAATGCAGTTCTACTCCAGTTTGGAGAAGTGTCATATTACAAATTAAATATATCTAAGACCCAGGCCCTGCCTTTTCATTTGCAAAAGTCTGACATGGATGAATTGAAAGCAATATATCCTTTCGACTGGAGGAAGGATTACCTGAAATATTTGGGTATTAATTTATGCAAACATTTACCTAATATGCATACTCATAACTTGAAGGGAGCATGGCCGGACCTACAAAGGGAGATGGAGAGATGGGGTGGTATGGAATTGTCGTGGTTAGGAAGCATTGCCTCCATAAAAATGTCGATCCTACCAAAAATCCTGTATTACTTCAGAACCATCCCTTTATCTGTTGTAATGTCCTTTTTTAACAAAGTGCACTCAACAATGCTTAAATTTATCTGGAATAATAAACTCAATAGAAGTAAGCTTACATCCCTGCAGCACCAAAAAACCCACGGGGGCATTGGTGTCCCAAATTTTAGAAAATACTACTTTGCTACTAATGCTGCAGTGGTTGTAAGCTTTAATAACCAAAAAAACAGGCCGAGATGGATGGAGATGGAGGAATCCAGCATTTTCCCCTATCAAATCGGGGAACTACCCTGGCTAAACCCTTCAAGGAGACCTGGCATATCAAAAATGTTTTTGACTACTAGGACCACACTCAAAGCCTGGGATTTAGTATTCAAAAACAATTGTCAATTGATAAAATTATATAGAGCCATGCCAATTGATTCTTTAAAATATTACATCCCAACCTTAGACTTAGCATTGCTTAAAGGACATCAACTGCATCATATAGATAATTTTTTTCCATAGTAACTCTATTTTGTCTTATGGAAAACTCAAATTTAAGCATAGTCTGTTGATCGAATGTAAGGTTGAATGTGAGTTAGTTATTGAGAAATTGAAAGAGATATACAAAATTCCAGAACTTGATAAAAATGACGAAGCACTGACTATATCTCCATTAGAAAAGCTATTTTTAAATGTCCCAAACAGGAAAGGCATTATATCTATCTGCTATATGTTACACAATGACAAACCAAATACCAAACTGAAACATATGTTATCTTGGGAGACCGAGCTGGGTACCCAATATAAGTTGGAAGAATGGTTTAATTTTTTTTTCAGCACTGAAGGGCTTATCTTTCTGTTCCAATCATGACGAAAATCATTTTAAAATTCTGTATAGATGGTATCTAGCTCCGTCCAGACTGCATAATATGAATAATAGGTACAGCGATAAGTGTTGGAGAGACTGGAGAGACTGCGGAGGATTGGGCAATATGGCCCACATATGGTGGTATTGCCCAAGACTAACTAAATACTGGAAATCGATACACGATTTAATTATTAAAGTGAACAGGAATATAGACAATTTCACATCTGAACTAGCTCTATTTAAAAAATTCCCTGAATCCATCAGTAGAATAGATAGGATTATAGCAGGCCACATACTGATAGCTGCAACCACATGTCTACCTAGGCAGGGAAAACTATGGCCCCGCTTCGTAGGCCCACCAGCTAAACTGAGCACTGAGCAAAGCACGCTCAGACCATAATCCGGACTGGGGCGGACGGGCTCCCGCTCTCCCGCACACCGGGCTGCCCCACCCCCCCTTTTTTTTTTCTCCCTCCCTATTACTTCTCTCTCACCCCCACTTACACCCCGCCACACACCATGTACAGACAATAACGCTACTGAAGAACCAGCAGTCGTATACAGTACTAGGGACAGAGACATCCCACGAAACTACAAGGACATACACAACAGGAACATACTAATCCTACCACAGCTTGGACCCACGAACACCTACACTCTAGACCCAACTAAGAAACGGGTGGCAACGCACATAGAGCAGACACACACAACGCAAAATTACACCACGAGACGGACATACCAGATGGCGCATACGGACCCCCACCCCCAGTATAACTCCCAGTATAACTCCTCTGTAGGCGGAACACAGAACAAACCTCCCCAAATCCGATGAACCCCATGTCACATTCAAAGACGAGACAATCATTCTCCCCTCACCTGCGACCATACTCCAACCCACGGACCTCAACCACCCTAAAACAACGAATTAAGGTGTACTGTGTATTTAAGATTATAACAACTATTTTTGAGAAAAGTATCAAAGAGTTTTTTTAGTGTTTAAAGGGCATACAAATTTCAAAAGTATCTTTGTGCATAAATCTTTAGTATTGTGTACACCTTTGCCAAAGTGCATAAAGTAAAAAGTAAAAACACTTACAACATTATATGTTGTTTACAATTGCAGACTGCTTGTATCATCCAAATTTGTACTCGCAGATAAAAACACAGAAAGATAAACATAGTGTGATCCTATATCCCTTGGAACCCTTTGACATGGTGTAGCAAAACTTTGGAACCCCAACAAAAAAAAATGTGTGCTGCAGTGCAAACCTTTCAATGAGCAGAGTGTAGGATTCTCTTTTGCTGGCAAATTCTTTTTATATCTGGTTTCATTGTTGACAGTTGTATTCACAGGTCTGCAGTTGCGTCAAGTCGATTTCGATACTTTGTTTTTGTTGCAGAGTAGAGCGAGAATCCCATTTCACATAAGTATGTACTGGCGAATGGCAACAGAACTTTGATTGCCCGCTCTGACAATTCTGGGTATTCTTCGCGTAAATCACCCCAAAAAGCAATAAGAGTAACGTCTTTACATTTTTCGCTTAGTTGACTGTCAGATGTTATATCAATCAGATTCTCAAAACCTACATCAGGAAAATTGGCATGCTTGACTTTTATGAATGGATTTTGAACCCAGTCATTATTGTTTTCATTCAAGAATGGAAAATACTGGTTAATAGATGTGATTAAATGGTGAAGATGATCTACAATTTAATTGCGAATTTCATCTTCAACAACTAAAATACCAGACTCCACTATTGCAATAGAGTGTTAATAATGTTTTAGAAATGACAGACGAAAGAGAAGAGGCGGCATTGTTATTTATGTTGACAATTCCATAAAGTTTACCCCCTTACAAAACTTTAGCCCTCCTGCCACCTTTGATTTCCTTACTGGCCAAACTGAGATTCCGTGCAGTAAATCAATCATTGCTGCCCACCTAGCTCCTCAGTGCATTCCCTATCTGACATAGCCCATCTCTTTAGTGAAACTATAGCTCAAAATTCAAAAAGTGAACTGTTGGTCTTTGGAGATTTTAATATTGATTGGCTGAATCCTAACAATAATAGTTCTTGCCTGCTGTTTAAGACTTTGCAGCTAACGCAATTAATCTCCTCTCCAACTCGCATAAACATTAAAAGCCATAACCATACCCTGCTCAAATGGATTCTCTCCACTTCTCCTGATCGAATCCAGGAGGCAGGTATTCTCCCTAACTGTTTCAGTGATCACTGTTGAGTGTACTGCTTGCGCAAAATAAAGGCTATTAAATCCTCTCCCAAGGTTAAAATCACCAGGTCCTTCAAAAAATGTAATCTCTAATCCATTCTTTATGACATCAAGAACCTCCCATGGCACAGATTAAACATTATCCCAGATCTAGACTGTGCAGATGAATTTTACCACATGACAGGAGGCTTCATATTTGCATATCTTCCTTTACTGAAAACTCCAGCAGCATAGAAACATAACAACCAATCAGAGAAAAGTTATGATGCCCATAAAAGGCCCTGTCTATGACATCACTTCCTCTTTCTTTGCTGCTCCAGCCTACAAAGGTCAGAGTATTTTACCTCTCTGGTATATTTCTATTTACTCTGTCTTTCATTAAGTGTTCTTGCCTAGCAAGACCACTTATTGTTATCTCACATATATATTATTATTCTTATTATAGCCAAATTTGCCACCCTAACTCCTCCCACAGTTTTTACACTACATAGACAAAAATTTACCAAAACGTACAGATTGTTCCCGATCGGATTGCTATTACTTTGTGGAACGTTTTGCCAAATGGTTCACGGAATATCGTCGTTCTTGTGGCGAAATTTGTCCCATAGGAATGAATGGCAAAGCTAGAGTGGGATCTGGCAAAAGCTGAAAAATCAGGCCATGATTTCTAAACTGCCACCACTCCCTTATTTTCAGGCCCACCTACACAAATCTTATATCAAAACGTTCAGCTATCCCTGCTGCCACTAAACATGTCAACGGCTAAGCCATAGTCCTGATAGTTTTCACAATATAATCATTTGTTTGCAACTAACGCCGTCCATTGACATTCATTGAAACTTCACTCTATAAAGCTCAAATTTGAAGTGCAATTTCTAAACTGCGACTGTGCCTTCATTTTTTATACTTCAGAGACATACTATGCATCAAAATGTAGGTCTGGGTCTTGTGATTCTCAAGCTCTTCGCTGTAGGATTTATAGTTTTATAGTTTTTAAAATACGACCGTTTGAAGATGGCAACGGCCAAAATACTCTGACCTGTGCCAGGCTGCAGCAGCAAGTGATGTCATAGACAGGGCCTTTTGAACACCTGCTAATGTTTTTATAAATGTATGGTTTAATGTAACTGTGCAACAACGTTGCAATTAAATGTGCTATATAAATGATAACAGTTACTCCGCCCACTCCAGTTGTAGACTACTGGTGGAGGCAAGAACACTTCACACAATTTCCCCCGAAATTGTAGCTTTTCTAGTTGATATAACTACCTTATAACCAGTGGCGTACTAAGGGGGGGGCGGTCCGCCCCGGGTGCCATCAGGCAGGGGGGTGCCACCAGGGCTGGCCAGGCTTGGGAGTTCAGTGAGCTGTGTGGCTGCACTGGTTGCCATAGCAGCAAAGGCACCGGGCAGCCAACACAGCTCACACGCAGGGGCTGGGAACAGGCTGGAGACCTGCACGGAGATTTGGGGGCGGAGCCACCGGACGTGGGGGCGGAGACAGGTCGGACGTGGGGGCGGAGCTATATGCAGCCTCATACTGCTGCACACAGAGGGGAAGCAGGAAGGAGTCCCTGCTTCCCCAACTTACAGCACAGGAGGGACTGAATCCCCTCCTCCTCCAGCCCAAACTTACTGTAAGTTAGAGAGTGTGTGCTGTGTGTGTGTAACTGTGATTGTGACTGTCTTTGACTGTGTGTGTGATTGTCTGCTTGTGTGTGTGTGTGTGTGTGTGTGTGACTGCCTGTGATTGTCTGCCTATGATTGTCTGTGTGACTCTGTGTGTGTGACTCTCTGACTGATTGTGTGTGTGTTTGTGTGTGTGTGACTGCCTGTGATTGTCTGCCTGTGATTGTCTGTGTGATTCTGTGTGTGTGACTCTCTGACTGATAGTGTGTGTGTTTGTGTGTGTCTGACTGCCTGTGATTGTCTGTCTGTGTGACTCTGTGTGTGTGACTCTCTGACTGATTGTGTGTGTGTTTGTGTGTCTGCCTGTGATTGTCTACCTGTGATTGTCTGTGTGATTGTCTGCCTGTGATTGTCTGTGTGACTCTGTGTGTGTGTGACTCTCTGACTGATTGTGTGTGTGTTTGTGTGTGTGTGACTGCCTGTGATTGTCTACCTGTGATTGTCTGTGTGATTGTCTGCCTGTGATTGTCTGTGTGATTGTCTACCTGTGATTGTCTGCCTGTGATTGTCTGTGTGATTGTCTACCTGTGATTGTCTGTGTGATTGCCTGTGATTGTCTGTCTGTGATTGTCTGTGTGATTGCCTGTGATTGTCTGTGTGATTGTCTGCTTGTGATTGTCTGTGTGACTCTGTGTGTGACTCTCTGACTGATTGTGTGTGTGACTGTGATTGTGTTATGTGTATGTATGACTGTCTGCCTGTGATTGTATGTGTGTGTGTGTGTCACTGTGTGTGTGTGACTGTCTGCCTGTGATTGTCTGTGTTACTCTGTGTGTGTGTGTGTGTCACTGTGTGTGACTGTCTGCCTGTGATTGTGGGTGTGGGTGTGTGTGTGTGTGTGTGTGACTGTCTGCCTGTGATTGTGTGTGTGTGACTGTCTGTGACTGTGTTGTGTGTATGTGTGACTGTCTGTGATTGTGTGTGTGACTGTCTGCCTGTGTGATTGCCTGCGTATTTGACTGTCTGCCTGTAACTGTGTGTAAGTGACTGTGTGTGGGACTGTGTGCATCTGACTGTGTCTGACGGTCTTCACCCTGCAGTGAGCCGGCAGCCAGGATATGATGTCATCGCAGCCTCGGCGTCATTACAGGGCGTGCGTGCGAGAGATCCCAGCAGCAACCACTGACCACCAGGGACTGAGGATCCACTCCAGCCCTTCTAGAGCAAGGTAGGGAGGCTGGGTGGACCTCTTGATTATTAAATGGGCTGGCTGACACCTCTTAATTTCAATCTTTGTTTAGCAGATAACTCCTCTATTTGCTATCCTTTGTGGGATTGCCATATTTAAGGACACCAAATAATGTGCTATCTGCTAAACAGCACCCTCATTTGGTATCTTTAAATATGGAAATCTCACATACGGGCACCAATTCGGGGAATGATCTACTAAACAGCTAAAGGATATTAAAAAAGCCCTTTTCTTATTTTCAGTTGTTTAGTAGATAAATCCCTTATTTGTTATCTTTATGTGGGATTGCAATATTTGAGGACAGGAAATACGGGAGCTATCTACTAAGCACATACGCAGAGATACACACAATCACACACATAATCCCAGCTATACACAAGCACAATCACTGACCCACGCACAAACATTACATACAAAGGAGTTATCTGCTAAACAAAGATTGAAATTAGGAGGTGTCAGCCAGCCCATAACAAGAAATCTGGGTGGCTAATGTGAATTATATGCAAATGTGTAATCAGATGCCAGCATGCAGAACATAGCATGCTGGCATCAGACAGCCAATGGCAGCATATTACCCCATCCCCTAGTGAGAAGTTTTACTGCTCTACCTCCCCCTCCTGTTTTGACTGTGGTATCTTATGTGGCCCCCATATATATTGTTCCTAGAGTCACCACGATGTCTGCATGTGTGTCAATGTGTATCTGTGTGTGATTGTTTGTGTGTGTATGTCCATGTATGTGTATATGTGCAGACATATAAAAATCTCGCCAACACTACACACAAAAACACTCTTGCATTTCAACGTCAACACTACATACAAACCCCACCATTATATATAACCATACCACTGCATTCAAATACCACACAACACACAAATGCATGCTTGCATTCAAACGCCAACACTACATACAAACACACCGCTACATTCACTCACATATACTCCATACAAAAACATGCATACATTCAAAAACACAAACACTGTTTAGTGCTAAATACAGTAAAACATTTTTTAGTTGTTTTTATATTTAAAGTTGAGGGGGGGAGCAAGGGGGGGGTGCCAAAAATAGGACCCGCCCCGGGTGCCAAATGCTCTAGGTACGCCCCTGCTTATAACTATCTCTAACTGCTACCTGGCCCCCCTTATACCTGTCCCTTACACCTTATTCCACAACCTTTTCCCCCCTTTTGGTTTTGCACATCTACCGGCTGGCACATCTACTGCCTGTGTCGTGCTCGCCCCGCAGACCTGCCCTTCGTTTATTCGGGGGAATGTATGGGGACGGGTGGAGGGAGGCTGGGCCAGCTCTTGTTTAGATTTTTCGTCGAGCGACAGAACAGTTGAGCACCTCCACACGCGGGCAGCGGCCATCTTGGATCTCGCAGCTAAACGCGAGATACCAGTCAGCCGCCTTCCCTGCTCGCTCGGCGGATCGGGAATCACCCGATCGCCGGACTCCATATATACTTCCCCCCCAAAGGGGGGAACTCTTACAACCCCTGGCTATATATATATATATATATATATATATATATATATATATATATAGGACTTGGCACAGAGTCAGGCACATACCTTTTGAAATATGTTACAAGCATGCAAGCATAAGGAAACTGAATGACTCCCTGTACCCATTATAATACAGGTCATTCTATATTCTGTACCCTATACAAGGGCATACCATACTACTGTACCCTTCACAGGGTCACACTAATTCACTGTACCCTCCACAGGGGCATACTATATCACTATACCCTACACAGGGTCATATTAAATTACTGTCCACAGGGGCATACTATATTACTATAACCTACACAGGGTAAAGCTATATTACTGTACCTGACCGTACACATTTATGTGGGTGTCCTCTGGGTATTTTCTCATGGCACACCACCTGGGGTGACCCCCCAGATATGCATGCAGGTCACTCATAGACCATTACCTTTGATGTGGGTGTCCTCTGGTTTACCACGGCACACCACCCGGGGTGAACCCCGTTCACATGCACGGAGGCCTACGCCTCATCACTACCACTTTTACCGTGCATACAGTTCTGAGGTACAACTGTGGTGAACCCAGAAACCACACCACTACCACATACCAGACTGCTCAGAACCAGTGCCCTCTAGGTAGACACCAAATTTATATACACCGTCTACTCATGATTTACTAACGGACGACCCCCAGTTGTACTGACCCGTCACCACTACCTCCACTGACTATTCTTATCGCCCTACAGGACGAGAGAAATACTAGGAGTCATGGAAGACACCCAAGCCAGCCAAGATTTTCAGGCCATGATTAATGCCACGGTAGCGGCCTCCGTAGAAAACGCCCTATTAAGCGCACTACCCCAAAGCCAGGGCGACACAAGCACCTCGGAACTGATGGAGGCCTTGGGCTTCGAAATCTCCAAAACAAAAAGACAATGAAAAGGGTCGAGCCCCCCTTCCTCAAAAGCCAAAGGCAAGATATCCGTTAAACGGATTAAGGGCACAGAACGGCGACAACCCGCGCCCCGAGCGCTACAATCCTCCAATGAGGACAATTCCTATGTACCACACACATTGGACGTGGTAGACGAATGGCACAGGGACGACTCGCCTTCAGAGGAGGAAGAGTGGCAAGACCTACCCCCCACCTCCTCGACATATGTCAAGGAGACCTTTCTCAGGCGACGACGACCGAGATGGAGAAAGCACTAGCGGCACCAAGGCCGGAAAGACCGGAGACGGAACGTTTATGGACGACCAAGGGAATCCGCTCTTCGATCCACATACCATCCGGCATCCACGGTCCTCGGAATGGACCATACCAGACCACCTGATACGTTTCATACACTACTGGCTGCGCAAGCCTCTAGAAAAAGAGGTGCGGGCACGCCTCAGGGCCGAATGCCCCAGACCACTAATTCCCGATAAAGTGGCCCTCACACCCGAATATGACAACACGGTGGTGGTCTTCATGTCACGCTCAGGACGAGACCCTCGAAAAGGCATAGAAAAAGGCATGAAGGTAGCACAGGACAAGTGCTGGTTTTACTTGGCCCCATCACTAAGATACTCTATTTTGCGGATCTAGCACTCATCCAGGGCTCCCTACTCGACCCGACCATCATACATGAATGGGCCCAACGAGCAGTATGCCTTCTGGGCAACGCCAACTCCGCATTATGCACCAAAAGATGCAAGTCGGCGTTGATCCGCATAGATAGTAAACTCCTGGACCTAGGTGCTAAGAAATTTGGACCAAAAGCACAAGGACTGTTGTTTGGCGATGCTTCTATCACAGAGCTTTAAAAGCACGTTAACCTTTTCACCACCTTAAACAAGGTCCAGTCCTCACTCAAGCATGTTTTTCACTCCCCACCAGGTGTTTTTGGGAGGGCTGGTCGGCAGCAGAACTGAACCACCACCTGCTTTTGGGCATCAGGTTCCAGATCATTCCCAGAAGCCCGAAGCTTCTTCCCATCTACGTCACACAGACCCTCATCGTACCGAGGGGCAGGACGGACTAGAGGCTTCAGAGGTCGAGGACGCGGCCGTTTCTCTAATGGTGAGTCTTCCTACATACCAAAATGTTTCAAATTTTGTGGCAGGCAGTCTGTCCTTTTTCTTGCAGAACTGGGAACTGATTACCAAAGACGCCTGGGTCCTCCAGACAGTACGCGGCTTCGTCATAGAATTCTCCACTCAACCTATACAGACCGCCCCCCCCCGCCTCTGATCCACATGTCAACGGAACAAAAGCGCCTAGTGGACGAGGAGATCCACACACTCTTCATAAAAGGCGCAGTACAGTACGCACCAGAAGGGGGAGGATTCTTAAGCAACATCTTCCTGGTCAAGAAGAAAACAGGCGACTACAGACCAGTTATCAATCTCCGACAATTGAATTCATACGTAATATACAGACACTTCAAGATGGAAGGGATCCATCTCCTGCAAGACCTTCTCATCAAGAACAACTGGTTTACGCGTCTGGACCTCAAAGACGTGTACTTGTCAGTACCAGTGGACGTACACATCCGCCGCTTTCTCCGCTTCCGATGGAGAGGACAAATATGCCAGTTCACATGCCTGCCATTCGGCCTCAGTTCGGCTCCGTGGTGCTTCACGAAGCTGCTGAGACCAGTGATGGCTCACATCCGAACCTTAGGCATACGATGTCTCGTATACCTGGACGATTTGCTAATCTTTTGCGAATCCGCTACCAGGCTGCGATTGCAGACGAAATTTGTCGTTCACTTGCTGGAATTTTTGGGTTTCATGGTGAACAGACAAAAATCGTCTCTCTCTCCCTCCCAGTCTTTCCTATTTCTCAGCTTTGACATCGACTCGAAGGACTGCGTGCTACGACCACCCCTGGCGAAGATAGCCTCGATACGGAAAGAAATCAGACGGCTCAGGATGTTAGCCCGGATTGTGGGACTCCTCTCCTCTTCCATACAAGCGATATTCCCAGGCCCGTTACACTACAGGGCCATGCAACGACTGAAGGCGGAATATCTACGCACCGGACACTCGTACGACCACTGGATACCTCTGTCGACGGAAGTAAGAACAGAACTTCGATGGTGGTTACTACACATTCAAGCCTGGAATGGCAAGGCAATATTCAGCTCTTCTCCAGACTTCATTGTGGAGTCAGACGCCAGCCTGTGGGGATAGGGCGCCCACTGCACGAACGCCTCCACGGGAGATCCATGGCAGGGGGAGGAGACCAACCAACACATCAACTGCCTGGAACTGATCGCGGGGTCCTTTGCCATCCGAACTGCTGCATCCTGCTCCGCATGGACAACGTGTTGGCAGTGCAGTACATCAACCACCTAAGCGGAGCCAAGTCTCAAGTCCTGACAGAAGCCACGAAAGACATTTACAAATTCTGCCTAACACGGAACATCACGCTACAGGCGGAATATCTACCGGGAATCTCCAACCTGACGGCGGACTGGGTCTCACGCCACTGGCGAGACAA